ATTGTAGAAGGAAGTCGACTCCTCCTCGCTATTGCTCTTTCTTTAGCAGAATTGGCAAAGGCAGGGGGTTGGGAATGGCTGATGAGGGCAGCCTTCCAGTTACCACAGCTCAAATCCTGTTAGGCAGAGGTGAGATTTTCTTCCAGTCTTCTGCACAGGTTGGTTCCCTCAGGTGTCTGGTGAAAACACCTACTAACATCTGTCACAGCATCCATCAGGGCCAGAGGAAGCCATGTGCCTCCCAGTGCACCCACAGACCCACTGTCCCTCTGTGCTAGCAGACAAGACCAAGGATGTGCTGCCATGTCTGATCTTGGAAAACCTCTTCTCTGCTATATTCTGCTCTTCATGCATAATTTATGCTATGCTAGATACACACTGAGCACCGGTAAAGCAAAACCTAAAACCAGCCTAGGTGAGAAATTAAGCTGTGAATCTCATCAGAGCTTAAAAGTCAAGAAGGGAGTGAATGACTCAGCATTGCCATAAGGGCAGTGGTGCACCGAAGCGAAGTCATGGACTGACAAGCAGGTGAGCTCACCTGGCAGGAGTCCAGGGCAGAAACACAGGAAAACTGGTGTTGCCCAAACATCTCCCAGTATCTTTCTCAATAGCTTGTGCTGCATACACAGCTTGTCCAGAAAACACTTCAGTCCAAGGACTTTAGGTGCCTCCAGGGTTAGGCAGGGCACCTGTGAGTACTACTTGTACATAAATAATAGAGTTAATTCCCTTTGATTTTAAAAGTGTCTACACACTTTGATATCCTAACTAGATACCTTCTTGTACGTGAAGACTACCTTCAGAAATCAAGTCTTTAGAGTCTGGTTGTTGGCTGAGACTTGACAGTTGCTATGGAGGTACAAGAAATGAACATTTCAGCAATGGTGAAGCAGAACATTGACTGTTTACAGTGACTTACTTTGGTCATTATATTAACTTATTTCTCGTACATTAGGCTGGTACTGTTTTTAATGACGAACTCAAGGAAACAGCTAAATTAAAATACTCCCCCCACCTACAGGTATTAATTAGCTTAAACTCCTAATATCTGTAAAATTAATTGTATTTTCTTGGCTGTGAAGGAGAATTTAGAAAGTGTCCTATGTTTTGGTCTAACCTGGACCATAAATAGAAGACAACATGGCATGGATTTCACCTGGGCAAGAGGACTGGTGAGATGTATTAACCTGGATTTTCTATCTGTATATCTGCTTTGTTAATGTCTTAAACTTTAGCAATGAAAGAACATTGCTTTTGGCTTGGGAAAAGCAATGAAATTCCTGGCAAATGGTATAATAACACATAATTCAGATGGGTTTGGAAACAGGAGTGCTGGAGCTGCCCGTCTACACTTAGTGGGTAAGAGAAGGTTTCTTGTAACCATGATTTTGTTATAACTCATAAATGATTGCGGAATTAAAGGCCTTTTGGATACCAGCAGGGAAAATTTGTCCATAAACATAATTTCAAGTACTCATCCTCTATGAATGTAAACTTTCCCTGGAGTCTGAGACCAGGCATGCAAAAATAGACACACATAAAAAACCCCAGTTACATCTGAAATTCTTGACTGCACAACTGTTGTCCCAGACCCAATCACTTGCACATGAAAACTCAGGCAAAACTGTCTTAATGACTTCACTGACAGTTTAATAGGGCCCTTACGGAGCATTAACTGCATGATCTTGTAACAGTACTGCACAAAGAGTCTGAGGAATGTCTGCTTTCCTTGCACTTCAGTCACATATACTGGTCACTTCTAAATGCTACCTCAAAGCAATGGGCCCAGACACACAAGCACTTGCTCTGCAGCAGGAAGACTAGTTTAGTTCCACTAACAGCAGCTGTCATATGTTGCTTTTTGGGAAGGGAACGAATGTGTCACATAGAAGTCTTTGGAGATGTAATGACAAGGATCTTCTGCATTTCATCTTCCTGGTCTGAGTTTCAAGCTGGTTGCTGTGGTTGCAGAGGAAATTTGGAAATTTATGTCTAATTCTCTGTGCCTGGGATTTAAGATCTTCCCAGGAAGGTTTTGCGTACAAAGCAGGACTCAACTCACACGGCCAGACAGTTATGCCACAAGCAAGGAGAAAACGAAGAATTAAGCTGCCAGAAGGCCCTGAACACTCAGTGTGGGAGAGACAGGGTGACCTGTGTGCAAGCTGACTGGGACAATAGGGGTCCTGTCAGTGAATCAGCATTACTTTTCTGGAAACAGATGACTGTTATATAAAAGCCAGAAGTAGGTCACACACTTGTCTTCATCAGCAATACGATATTTTTGAGGCTAGGTTTGTGCAGCCAGGTCTGAGGGTTTGCAGCACATCCAGGAAGGAGGTGCCGAAGGCACTGAATTAAGCACCTCTCTTTGGCAGCACCGGCTGAAGCTGCAGTTTTGCGGCTCATAAGCTTCCTGTGCACAGACCCGGTCTTCTAGGTTTTGATCAGGGATCCCACACTGCTACCAGAGTCCAGCCTGGGCAGGACACTGAAGGTGCGTAAGGCCTCAAAGTGGGGCAGCTTTAAGCTCCAAGTGGTTAAGCCCTTGTCCTTTGCAGAACAAACCAACTTAATCACATCCTGTCAAGGATCTACGAGATGTTCTTTCACTTTTCTGTATACTACAGCATGCAGTAGTTTTTAAATATATACGATGTGCATTAGCAATAAACTTGCCAAAAAAAAAGGAACAAATTTTAACACTTTTTTTTCGTGTTACATGTCTTTCCCTGGTACAACTAGCAGGGGCTGGAGCTACGGGAATGCTTCCAAGGCATTGGAAGAGCAAAAGATAAGGGCAATCTTAAGAGATTAACCAGATTGAAAGGTTGAAAGAAGGAGAATATAGCAATTTTCACACTCACTTCTTTAAGCCAAACCAAGAAATTGTTATTATGTGTTGTACTTCTGGATGAAGTCACCTCAAGGGACAACATCAAAGAAGATCTTTGTGGTTATGGAATTTTCTCCATAAAGTGTGTCCTAGGTGATTGAAAAATGCTTGATGAGGTGATTGAACTCATGAAGGCAAGAGTGAATGGTATCAAGAAAAGTGATAAAGAGATTGACAGAGTAGTAAAAATACGTATTTGCGAAGACTGCTAATCAGAAAACTGTATAAATTTCATCAACAGCTTCCTAGCTGGTTTTGATGGCTTCTAATGTCCCTTTCATTAGAGAGATAAATGAGTGAGGGAAGTTTAACAAGTCCTAAAGGCTGGAAAGTTACTACTTTCCTCTAGAACCAAAGAGACACCGCATGGGAAGAGAAAAAAGTTGGAAAGCTATAGTGAGTCTGTAAGTACCAGAAGTTATTTCTGCAGAGATGTATTGTGGATGTGTAAGCTGCACAGGAGAACTCTGCACCCAATTTTTAGATTCGTCTTACCTGCTCAGTTACGGGCACCTAACATAATATGTGAGTAGATTCATTATCAAAATCTCCCTCAGGGGATTACTTCCCCTTGCCTCAGCTGCCCCAGTTCTGGGTCACTCTCTGAGCCTGTCCCTCTCCTTTCAGGACCAGCGAGGGGGCCTCTGCCCTAACGTGAATGGCTTGGTTAGGTGTCTGCTCTCAGGGCAGGAATTCAGTCCTCAGTGACCAGAAAACCCCTGCAGAGTCCTACCAGTCTTGACAGGGTCTGGCCCCGTTTCAGCTGCCCAGACTCAGCAGTCCCCCATTTCCCCCTGTGGATGGCAACAACGCATGCTGTGCTCTGGGGACCCTTCTGGTACAAACACAGCAGGAAACAATGTCAGCAAGTATCTCAAGTGTACAATATATTTATAATCTCTCCTCTCACAGCTCTGTTATCCTGCCAGCTCTGTGGAAGGTGGTTTATTTCTCTGCACATGCAAGGTCCCACCTGCTCTGCAGTGCTGCAGGTGTACCCTAAATCCTGTGTCAGCCCCATGCAGAAGTCTCAGATACAGAGGACTGTCTTCAATGGCAGTAGACACCTCTCTTCAGGTTTCCCAGGGCATTCACCATCACCTCTGCTTTGTCCTCATTTGTGGCAGTGAGTGGAGGGTGTGACTGGGCGTGGAGGAAAAGTGAACTCAACACTAGAGTAGACCTAATGTTGAGTCTCAGAAGTCTCCAACAGCAGACATGGAGAAGAGAGGGCCCTCTCCTCTGGCTCGGAAAGCTATCAAAGAGTTTGATCCAGAAAACCTCAGTGCTTTTTAAAACCTTATAGTAAGTATGAAAGAAGGAGACTGAAATAGGAAGTTGGGCAATTTTTTGAGAACAGTGGAAAGTGCTTAAGAAAAGTGGCATGCAAACACCTTGGCCCAATTTTCGTAATGAGTTTAGCTATGCTGAGGAAAGAGGTTTCATTTCCTTGTGGGACTTCCATGTTTTACTGTAGACAAAAAGAAGTTTCATCCAGGTGAGAACTGTATCACAGAAAAACTGCATAAACAAAGCACTGCTTCGTCAAACAGGGAGTTACAGCACTGACCTTTTATTTTTCAAGGACTCTACCAAAAGGAAAGATGATGGCGCTATAATAACATCCAGAAGTACATGCTCCTGTACAAATAACTACAAAAAATCCCTAGAAAAACAAATTTTCTACTTGTAGTCTGTAGTCCTGTAACCTTCTGCGAATGTTTTTCCCTTTAGATATTTCAACAGTCCATTTGAAACCATCACAAACTTTGAAGGAAAACATTGAAGAGATACACGTTAGGTTTTTGAAGAGTAAGACCACATTTTAATAAGCTTACTAAAAACAACTACAGGTCTGTTATCTCCTCATTAATCATATTTCAATGTTGCAAAACCTGCACAAGGGTGGAACCGGATGAGACACAGCACAAATCTTTTTTATGGTACAACCACTGTTTTGCCTGTGTTCTGTTACTAACTAGAAATTGTGAGAATCAATGAGTCAGGGATTGGAAAGCTTTATAAAGCAAACAAATACTATATAAAGGTGAAGCAGGCGTGTGGCAGACTACAAAGAAAACTTTTCTAAAGGCTAGTGAAAATGAAAATGGAGAACCTCCCATTTCTCCTGTTATTATGTGCAACACTTTCTTGTGCTTTTCCTGCAGATACAAGGCAGAAGAAAGAAGAAGGCAAGCAGCTTATCCAGGTGAGAAAGGTAGACCTCTGAGGAGGAGATCTCTAGCAACTGTGAGCATCCATTGCAGTCTCTGGAACTAGTATACAGTAGCTACAGAGCTAGGTCTGCAAATTCCAATAGAATAAATAACGTGACTGAATATTTCTCAGAATGGACAGGGCAGCATTCTGTACTATGATAACAAAGGCTTCTTTAACCCTGACTCATTCTTGGTTTATTTTTTTGTAGACAACAATTAAAACTGATGATGCATTCACTTACGTGTTGATTCTACAAATAATCAAAATCCTGAGTCAATCTACACTTGATTTGTAGTTCAGGTGGAAATATGGTTATTTATGTGACTTCTGGTATTATGAGACATAACTCTTCATAAAATAAAGATATTTTTTTCTCTGAATTATTACTGTCAAAAAATGTGGGAAAATGGGATACTACTGCTGAATTTTTTTATTCACTCACATATTTCAAATAGCTTCTGCGCTGCTTGTTCTAAGTGACTCTGGGTAACCCTAGAGCACAGTGTAAATGGAGGGTACCTCCGTTAGAAAATAATACATTTATTAGACAAATGTTAATTTTGAATGCATTCTGAGTAAACTGCAAAACATTTATAGTGATAATATAATGCAAAAAGGTATCGTTGAGAGAAAAATATTCATACAGGCTTTAAAAACTCTATTACAAATGCTCCCATGGAATAGAAAGAAAAGTAGCAAAGGTATATGTCTGAAGTGGTGTTAGTGTAATTTTTTACGAGCTTCAAAAGTAAACACTGTTGAATATCCCAAAATATTTTTTTTTTTCATTAGAAGTACCTGGAAAATTACTATGGCTTTAATAAAGATGGAGAATCTTTCATTTGGAAAAGTAATAATGCAATGACCCAAAAAATAAAAGAAATGCAGGAATTCTTTGGGCTGGAGGTGACAGGGAAACTGGATTCTGGCACTTTGGACCTGGTACAGAAGCGTCGCTGTGGATTCCCTGACATCGCTGGCTTCTCCACCTTTGCAGGAGAGCCAAAATGGGCAAAACAAGTTCTGACATACAGGTAATTATAGTGGAATTCTTAATGTAAAGACAATGTGTTAGACAGCATAAGTTGTAAGAACACAGCTGTTTTTCTAACCTGTATTTGAAGGATATTAAACCACACACCAGACCTGCATCCAGCAGATGTCGATGCAGCAATCAAGAAAGCATTAAGTGTTTGGAGCAGTGTGACCCCACTGAAATTCATCAAGAAGGACAGAGATGATGCAGACATCATGATCTCCTTTGCAGCCAGAGGTAAAACTCTACACAACCATTATGATTTACTACAAAGTTACTGACTATATGGAGAGGTTGACCTGAAATGCTAATCATTTTTTCTCACAGATAACATGTGCAAAGTTCATGTCAGGTAGAACAAGCAGACAGAAAAAAAAAAGTTTGTGCTCAAGGAATTCTTGACAATCTTTGGGGGAGGTTCTAGAGGCAGATGAAGAGAAGGAGGGAGAAAACAAATGTAAGGAGCTGCCTGTAGTTCACCAGATCTACACCTAGCATATGATGCCCAATGTGTTCACAAACCACAAGAGGCTCAGGGCTTGTGGGATATACTCAAGCTCTGAGCATTACAGAGTGGGTGGCTCTAGTTACACTTCTGGGATTAGACATGTGCTTTGTGTGAGCTAAATAAGTTCTAGACAGACTCAAAGCTTATATTTTTGGCACTGCCCTCAGGGTAGGCTTACCAGCAACCTTCCCTCTTTCAACAGTCATGAACATATGCACTCTTCTAGTCAGCTTCTCTGTTCCCACCCAAACATATCCACTCATCTGGGCTACACAGAGTGTGCAGGCGCCGCACATAACCTTTATGTCCTTAAATCCTTTTCTGGAGACTACATTCAAGGTCTTACAGTTTTCCCAGGATCGTTCTGCCATCAACACTTAAGTGACCAGTCAGGTTCAGGTAACAACCTGATGGCTGCTGACACAAGAGTTTATAAGCAAAAACGAAATATATTTCAACCTAAACCACATCATCCTCTTCCCTTGCAGCAGCAGTATGTAAATATCCATCCATTTCTTGAGGAAACCAAGTTTTCACCCCTGATGCATGAGTTCAAATTTTCCTAAGTTTTCCCTGTGAAGCATTTGGCAAATCTGTGTGGAAGGGGAACTTGAAAGTTTACAAAATCATGAGAACAGAGAGCTCTGTGCATGACTGAGATCTGTTACTTCCGTAACTTCCAGTCAGCTGTGTATGGGACTTGTTCCTCAGGTCACGACGACTTCATCCCCTTTGATGGCCCAGGAGGGTCTGTTGCTCATGCCTACGCACCCGGCAAGGACTTTGGTGGAGATGCTCACTTTGATGAGGATGAAACCTGGACCAAAAGCACAGAGGGTAGGAAATTAAGTTCTCCAAGCCCTTCCTGAAGGAGGCTATACTTGACAGCCAGGGTGCAGTGTCTGTCTCCTCTCTTCCTTAAAAAGTGCTTAAAAATGGGGTGATTTGAAGGACCATTGGGCAGCTGGTTTCCATAGCTATAAAAAACCTCTGAGCTCTCTGGTTTAAAAAGTTAAGGCCCCAGCTGAACTTCTGCCATGGACTGGGTGGAGATTTATTTGGGAGGGAGATGGGGGACTTGACAGCCTCCTTGTCTCCACTCCTCCAACCTGTTTGTCTGTCCCTGTACAGTTACATCACCTGCATTGGTCCAGGGTCCTTCTCCCACACTAGCATCTGCAGGATCTACAGACTATTTCCCTGTACTGTACTGTAATGATTTCACTGTTTTTGTTTCTGACTAGAATTTACCTCCAACCGAATTTTCCATACAGGTTTATTTGCTTAGGCAAGCAGTTCAGAAAGCTTCTGACCTACCTTTCATCCTTCGTGTTTTCAGGACAAATGAAAAGACACATCTTTCCTATTATGTGTTTTGTTTGTTGTTTTCAGGTACAAACCTGTTTTATGTTGCTGCCCATGAGTTTGGCCATTCACTGGGACTTTTCCATTCCAAAGACCCCAATGCTTTGATGTACCCAGTTTATAGGAAATTTGACCCTTCAGTCTTCCCTCTTCATCAGGATGATATTAATGGCATTCAGTACCTCTATGGTAATTCACAATTATTAATCAACAAGTGCTTATAATTTCAAAGACTTTGGAATACTTTTCAGTGATATTTTTGTGTACTGGATGTACCTGAATGAGTTCTAACTTTAATTTCTTCCATAAACTGCTTCTTTTAGGACCATCTTCTAACACCCACAATGACCAATGGGAATCTACTGGGCTAAAAGATCCAACTGAGTCAAAAGATCCTGCACTGCCAAACACCTGCGGCCCTGATTTAACTTTTGATGCTGTCACCAATTTCCGTGGAGAAATAATGTTCTTTAAAGACAAGTAAGTCAGCTTTCTGAAAGTAAAATAGCCATGTATCGTTTTTGATTATGCTCTGCAGCATGGAAAAATAACTTTACCCAGAATATCATTCTAGGCAGGAAGGTGAGACAGGGAATCAGGATAAGAGGTGGCAGGCAAAACCAAAGAGGGTGGTGGAGAAATGAAGAGAGACCACTATAAGGAGGAAGATCACCTTTGAAACAGGGCATGTTATGAATAGGATGGGGAAACAAGGTGCCTCTGAAAACATGGGGGTTTGTTTTAGGCTGTAAGCAAGTGCCAAACATTTGGCACCTGGGAGAGTTTAGCTTTGTCAAAAGACACCACCAGCCCCGAGACACTCAGCACCTTCATTGCTATTCTTGCTTTGAGAGAGCTGAGGTTTTACCAGTCCTGACACAATACCTGCTTGAAGAGCCCCGGCAATGGTATAATAATAAAAGGAAAGTATAATTGATTCAGTGCTAAGCTCAGACAAACTGTCTCTCTCAAAGGCATGACAGTCAAAAGTCTTGAGGAGAAGGGATAAAGAGCTGATTTTCCTCCTTTTCATGTGGTAGGGCAGTCCTTCCCCTGCTTCAGACATTCCCCAAATCAATGTTAAAGCAGGTTTTGACCTCAGAGTTCGGAGTCCACAAAGCCAGTAAAGTGTTATTTTGCAGAAGATCCTCATGCACACAAACTATTTCTCTAAACTGGTGTTGGTAAAGCCGGGGTGGGGTTTCATTCCCGAAACCTTACCCCATACCAGCCACGTGAGCCAGGCCTCTCTAGGCTCCCTTTCTGCGTAAGGGAATACAGTAACTGTTTTGACAAAACAGTTCATCTGACCTATTTTAGATGTCTGTATCAAGATGAGAGGAATCCCACCATGGAAATAAGTTTCTTTCCACTAATATTACAGGGAGCTTAGGAAGACTAACTCAGGGTACATGGCTAGGTTTAGTCAGATAAATCCCGCCCTGGTTGCCATGATGTGGTTTCATGCATTAGTGTGTGTGAATGCTTGATTTTATTTAAAACTTACTCTATATTTATGTAAGGCATTTTTGGCGCAAGCATCCTGCAGTCAGAACAGCTGACTTTAATTTAATATCTTCGTTCTGGCCACGGCTGCCACCTGGTGTTGATGCTGCATATGAAATTCCTGAAAAAGATGAAACTGTCATTTTTAAAGGTAAAATGTTGTCTTTTTATTTTCCTATGTTGTCTTTCCAAGTAGTCTTGAGAGTTTGTGTCTGGCTTAAAAATCACTTAAGCTCTTTCTGTAGGATTCCACAAGCTTTAATTTAATCCAATAAATTGGTGTATTTCAGTCACAGAAAAAACAAAAATTGTGTCCAAGACATAAGAACATGTATCTTATTTTATAATGTCTATATAGAAAATTTACCCTGTGAAAATAAATGTCATTATTTTCCTTTTTTTTTTCTGGAAAATTACCTATTACATTTAAAAATTATAACACATGCTTCTTCCTAGCTTGTGGAAAACTAACATAAGTATGAAAGAAGATTGAAATTTTTCAATAAATGTTGTGCAAAAACCTATTTTTGAAGACTTTTTTGGACTCTAGAACCAGCATGTAGAGTGTTTTCAAGTAACCATTATTTTCTTTCTGCACTTTTACATTAAAAGACTAACTTTCATGAAAAGGATTGCGTCATTCCCAGAAAAAGATTCTGATAAAATATTTTCATCAACTTTTCTTGATAGGGAATGAATTCTGGGTTGTGAAAGGAGATACCATACTTCCTGGATACCCCAAAAAAGTCTACACCCTGGGCTTTTCAAAGGATGTTACCAAAATTGATGCTGCTTTTTACAATGAAAATGAGGGGAAAACTTATTACTTCATAGCGGACAAATTTTGGAGGTAATATTTCCTGTGCTACTTTCCTAAATAAGAGCAAACGTAATCACATGATCAGTATTCTGTCATGATTTAGGATGCATTAGTCACACACTTTTGGTAATCTCTTTCAGTGTCACAACTAGCTATGGAAAAACATTTGCAAGGGAGGTGAAACAACGCTTTTAACTTTCCTTTTAATTGATTCAATTATTTCTTTTTAATTTAATCTATTTTTATTTAATTAGTTCTTGTATTAATTTGTTTTTCTTTTAACTGCCTTGAGAAAAAAGCAATCCTACAACTTCACAAGTCAGCTCAGGAAATCAGTCAGAACGTCACTATTTATGCGAAAAACACCTCTGTAGGGTAAGAAGGAGTATCCCACCTTTCTCCACTTACCGACAGATAGTTTCGTAAAGTTGCTGATAAATGCCATGTGCAGCAAAGAATTATCTACTCTGTATGGTTACTATTTCCTCTTTTCAATCCAATCCCTACTGCTGAGGTTTGTGTTGCAGGACTTATATTTCTAACAACAGAAGTATATGCTCCTATAACAGAAGGAGTAGATAACCTGAACTTTTGCAGATGAACGCACAACTTCTCTCTCTCCTCCAGCCATGACAATGCCCAAGTCACTGTATATACAGAGATCATCCTGGAGTAACCATTCAGCCACATATTTGTAGTTTAAGCAAAAGATCAGACTTCCACATTTTAGTTCAAACTCTCGTAGCTTGAAGGATTTCAGCTGAGCAGTATGTCCGATCATTAAAACTCTTACTGAGCAAAGGTATCAGAAGGAAAATGCTTTAAGAAGCTTTCTCATTCCAGCACTGACAGATAAATGGCATTAAAAATGTAGCAGCCTGCTATAAGTAACTTAAGTAAAATAACTCAAAATAACTTATAACTTAAGAAAAACAGATTTTTCATGATAAACATTTCTTACAGAGAGGGAACATGAAAGCAATCCCTTTATGATATTACAAGTCTAACTTATGTTTGAGACAAGATTATCTACCTCTCCTTTAGGTACAGTCTCTTAGAAAAAATATTTAGCAGATTTATGATGGTTCGAATATTAGGTATTCTTAGACATATCTTGAGGTGGTGTAAACAGAAGCAATTCTTCCAATGCAGCTAATAGAGTAATAATTATTTATGGCACACTGTGACTGTCTCAACGCTACCTAAACAAGCTACCTGCTGATCAGGTTACTTGCTGATATGTAGAAGATATTGAGGTAAGCTGATTTAATCATGAGTTCTTCACAGTTTTCATTGACACCAGGTTGTTTATCATGTTTCTCAGTTATGATAAAAGAAGTCAGTCTATGGACAGGAAGCCCATGCTGATAAGAGATACATTTCCAGGAATTAATGGGAAGGTTGATGCTGTTTTTCAACATGAAAGTGAGTAGCTCTTCTTAATAAAATCTGTATTAAAAGCTCAGGGTCATGGGGCTGAGAGTGCTAGGACAGAGAGAGGCATTTCTAAATGCTGCCCATAGCCTTCAGAATGACCAACAAGAACTGGAAACAGTCATGTAACACTCCCATGCTTCACTTTACCCCCTTGAAAAATACTGGTGACAGCTTCACAGCTGGACAGGCCAGCTCTTAGGGACATATTGATATGTTTGTATTCATGTTGATGTGCACCTCACACCATGAAGAGCATCACTAAAGACAGTGACGTCTCAACAACATAAGGTCTACCTGCTGTGAGCAAGGCTATCAGAGCCTGTCCCTCTGATATAAAATGGCACTGCATGGAGAACAATAATCGACACTAGGTTCTCCTGCATGAGGGAGAATTTTACTTAGAGAGGGAGATGCTGGAAGAGACTCAAGTGTAGTCCACAGCGCCAAATCGCACAGCTTCCCAGTTGTCTCCTGGTTCCTCATCTCCTGATCTTCTCTGCTTTCGTCAGATACCCACCTGCAGTACTGCATTCAGCTCTGAGGCCCTCAGCACAGGAAAGACATGGACCTGCTCAAGCAAGTCCAGAGGAGGGCCACAAAGATGATCGTGGAGATGGAGCCCTCCTCTGTGAGGACAGGCTGAAGGAGTTGGGGTTGTTTGTCTTGGAGAAGAGAAGGCTCCAGGGAGACCTTATAGCAGCCTTCCAGTACCTGAAGGGGGCCTACAGGAAAGGTGGGGAGAGACTTTTTATCAGGGATTGTAGTGGTAGGATGAGGGGTAATGGTTTCAAACTGGAAGAAAGGAGATTTAGATTAGATGTAAGGAAGAAGTTCTTCACTGTGAGGGTGGTGAGGCACTGGAGCAGGTTGCCCAGAGAAGGTGTGGCTGCCCCCTCCCTGGCAGTGTTCAAGGCCAGGTTGGATGGGGCTTTGGGCAACCTGGTATGGTGGAAGGTGTCCCTGCCCACGGCAGGGTGTTTGGAACTAGATGAGCTTTAAACCAAACAGTTCTGTGATTCTGTGATTCTATGATCATCAGAACCCACGCATGTTAATTGTTTTCCAGCAAACCTATCAACTTCCTCCAAAATGAGTCTTCCATGTGGTGCTGGGGATCCTTAACTGCAGTTGTTGCTCCCAGAGGGCAGCGTGGATGCTGCTGCCTCAGGCTGGATCTGTCCTTGCCTGCACAGTGTCTGGCAGCACCCCAGCAAACTTGTACCCGCTTGCACATTGCCATGCTCTGTGCCATGCTCCGTGCCATGCTCCATGCTGTGCAATACCTACCTACAGGTGGCTAGAAATGCACCCTTCTGTAGGGCTTCAACACAGCCATTGGATAACAGCAGATATTTTAAACTGCGGAAACATACAGGATAAATTTTTTGCAGGGTCATCTCTTGGGGGTCATTAAGTATATCATGCAGTGTGTGCATATCTGGTTTGCTATGGAAGGTGTCCCCACACTGCTGTGCACCATTTTGCAGAGGTTACACCTGGGAGCAGGTGCTATTGGCAGCGTAAGTCTATCCAATGTTTTTCTGAGCTCTTTCTGAGTGTCGTTAAAGCATAATAATCTTTACACCTGCAATATAATAATTCATCTAAAACTTTCCCTAGACTTCCTTTATTTCTTTTGTCGAAGAAAGCAATTTGAGTTTGACCCTGATAAGAAGAGAGTTACACGCCTCCTAAAGACAAACTTCTGGTTTACATGTTAAGAAAATGAAATCTGTAATGGTGTTGGAAAGAATGTAGTGTTATTGCACTAGAAACACTTTTTCTTTTATAAATATATGGAATGTATAGGTACTTCAGCATATGGCAAACCTCAGCCCCTGAACAATCTGTTTCTGGAAATAGCAGAACAGTATTTAACACACTGATGTGTATATATGTAAGTAATTAACATCAGAATTGCTAGTTTACCAAAGAACAAAGTAGTTTTTACTTTTGATACAAAATTGTGGCTTGTTTTATTTTTTCCACCATCTTTTCACTCTTCTTTCTGTACTTCACCCTACACAAAGCCCTACTAGCCAGGAGTCCATGAGAAAAAGCATTTCTGTTCCTAGAGCTAGGATTGCTTTCAGATCGCTTTAGACACTTAGAAGTTAAGCAAGCAGGCTAAACAAAGCTACTGCTCATAATTACAGAGAGCCAGACAGGAGCTCCAGAGAGCAATCCCTCCCAGCCTGAGGTGGGTCCCTAGGGATGGAAGTGCCCCTTTTCGTTACTGACTGGAGAGGCAGCCTGTTTGAACAGTTTAGGATAGGCACCTGGTTATAGAAGTCTCAGCTTAAGTGTAATGAACCCTACCCTAAGATATTTTTCTATATGTATGTGATTGAAACGTCATACCCACACAGACAGGAGCAGAGGGGCACATTGGCACATAGGGGAGCCCCAGTCATCCCTGACCTGCCCCTGTTACTCTCCAGCTGTCGCAGGGGAGCCCCCATGGGCTGGGGGGCACTCGTCACCATGTGTCAACAGGAGAGGGTCCCCATCACCTCACAGGCTGAGGCGTCACTGTCAGGGGGACAGGCATCAGTACCCAGGGGAAGAGCATCTGGGGATTTTATAAAATTTATTTTGTCATGTTTGTGGGACTGCGGGAATGTGCAAAATTTATTATGCATTGATTAGGGGAAAGACCAAAGGCAGGTAAATGGAAGGATCAAGGTACATTGGAGAGGAACAGGTTTGGGAAAATAAAGGGATAAGTGGTCGAAAGGTGCTGTTTCCATGCAAACAGGCTGCAGTCACTGTGCTTCTTTGGCCATGCTCTGCACATTTGGTCCTGTCTTCTCAGTAAATCATATCTTATATGTGGGTGCTCTTTTTACATGTGTTTGGGTGAACTTCAAGGTGAACTGGCTGACGAGTGGGTTAGGAGGTCTGAGTACCAGCAGTTGGAGCATGGCTGCAAGCTGCAGGGACTTGTACAATACTGGGGACACAGGAGCTGTGGGGGAAGCTACTGGGAGGACTGCCTGTCTGAGCCTGCTGCTGAGGGCAGCCACAGCGTTTGTATTTCCAAACTGGTGGATGGGGCCACCAGTCCTTTTCATATGTGTCCAAGTGCTTCATATTTTCTATCTGTGATGATCTCTATGGCCAGCCTCATGGCTTTCTGGACCTGGGGGAGAGACATGCAGCAGCTGCAAGTTCTGCTGACAATGATCTCCCTGCTGCTGAAGTCAGGCATCATTTGGTAATGCTCCACAGGGGCCCATAAGTATTCAGATGAACAGCTAGCAAGATCTAATGTCTTAGAGAAGATATGAAAGAAATCTCGCCCAGTACCCACTGTCTCCCCCTTATTAGACAACTTCCGTAAAAAAACAGAAAAAACAGAGAAAAAGATAGTTCTATTTGATTCCTCTTCTCCATGAATTATAGAATCACGGAACAATTGAGGTTGATTTGACCTCTGGAGGTCCAATTTCCCTGCTCAAGCAGGGCCATCTAGGTGGCTTTTGGAGATACTACTTTTGCATAATCCAAAGAGGGAGACTCCACCATCTCACTGGGCAACCTGTGCTGGTGCTTGGTCACCATCACAGTAAAAAAGTGTTTCCTGATATTCAGAGGGAGTCTCCTGTGGTTCGGTTTGTCCCCATTGCCTCTGGTCCTGTCAGGACAAGGCAATTATATTGTATTTATACATACAATTGTACTGTATGAATGCCACAACATATTTCAACACACTTTGTGGAACCTTTTTTCTCATGCTTTTTTAAAACCCCTAGTAGCAGGACTACTCAAATGGGGCACCTCAGCGTGGATGTAGACACCAAGCACTTTTTATGTGAATTCTATCAAGATCCAAAACACATTATGGCACTCTCAGTGTGGAGGTGGCAAACAAGACTTTACTGACCAAGCAGAACTAGAGCCAAAATTATTAGTTTCAATTACAGCACCTCCAGAAAAGGAAATGAGTAGCTCTGATTGGTGTCTGACATTGCCAAGGTCCGGGAAGTGGCTTCAAGCTTCTAACTTGAATGTTTCTATTGAACTTAGTAGGAAATATTTCATTGTTGTTTATTTGTTTGTTATTATTTGCCTCATGCTGTTCTTGTTTTCTGTTTTCCTTCATGTTTCTGATACGGCTTTTTGAGCAGTCTCACAATTGCAAGAACTAATCAGTCCATGGTCTCACCTATAACAGTGAAAGTCAAAAAGATGCATTAATAGTTTGACTCACACTTTATAGATTTTTGATTCTTTAAGGAAGTTTCTAACTGTCCTGGTCTTGAGTGGTTTTCTTCAGTTGTTCCCACTGCTGATCCTCCTCTACAGTATCTGTGCCCTCCATGGCACTGCCATTGTGGTTAACTAACATTGTGATTAACTGACTACACTAGACCATGTTATTTAAAATGGGATAAGCTCTTCAACTTCGATCTTTCCAACTTTTTTCAGAAATATCCTCTTTCAGATGGGATTAGAGTTTTCAGAGCAAAGCTGACTTATCCTAGACTTTTCATGATTGTTTTGTAGTTTTCTGGCTCCCAAACACTTATCTGACTAGTTCTTCCCTGGTTTTGATGATTTCTGATTAGTTGGGGGTCTTTCCTTCCTGATTTCACTAACTGTGCACACAGATGATCATACTAATTGTTGAATGTGAAGTCTTGGATCTGTAGCGGAAGTAGAGCTTAACTGACTCTAGCGCTATTTGTCTTAATATAGTTTAGCTCTTTTAGTGTTGCATGTTGCTGTCTTTTTTAGCTTCACAATTCTTACTTTGAAAATCTCTGGTACTGCTGACAAGTCAGCCTCATCATTTGAGTGAAAGCAGGCTTTTGAACTGAAGGTCATTGACCTGTATTCAACATCCTGTGCTCTTCTGAGACACAGTTTGAGACCTGGACTCTGAGCTGATACATTCATCGCCTGTGGTACACTCAGTCCAAGCATTTCAGTTATGGTTTTCTCAGTCTTCTAAATACATCGGATTTTTCCACGCTACAGCAAATTTCTAGCCCGTTTGCATAGAAAATTGGGTAAGACAAATGTCTGTTCACAAGAAACAGGTTTATCATGTGACTCTCCTCTAGAAAAGCTATTTTGTTTTCTTCAATGTTTTTTTTATAACAGTCTCATTTGTTGTGATTTTCAGCATCTTGTTCTGGAGAACATTTTGCCTACATCTAAATGTATCTATTTGCCTTTTGTTTGCCAAGGACTCTGTAGCTTGTCCATCAGACACTATCCTGGAGGTCCAACATGGATGGCCCAAAACTATCTACCCCAGGAAAAAACAGTTTGGTTTGGATCTTCTTTTTCTTACCATTTATTTGTTTTCTTGGTTTCCTACACTTACCCTGCCTGGAAGGGGTAAGTGCCCTTTGATATTGTTCTTGGCATGGTTACATATCTATTATCACAATAGGTAGGGCTGTGATAGTGAACTGAAAAGCTATTGTGCAATGATTTGGACACCCAGAACTAAAAGACCCCGGAGAGTTTACCAGATAAGTAAAACTGACAAAGGTAACATACATCCTGGCAGAAAAGAACAAAATTAAAATTAGTTCATTTAACTTCTATTCGGAGGAATTTTTCCTAGTGAAATGTTGTTTTGTGTTTAAGGAAATGGGGAAAAAAAAAAAAAAAAAAGCCTTTGGTGACAGAAGCAGCAGATTTGTGGGTTCAGAAGCACTGAAGGCCACTCAGAACTGCAAAGACTCATCTCTCGGCTGCCATTAGTATTCCAGAGAAAATAGTTAAAAGCTGCCAAGGTGCAAACTTCATTTCCAGGTGATTCTGTAGCAGCCTTTGAACTGCCATCTGGCTGGTCTCCAATTAGCCTGTTCATGTTTGCCCACTGCCAGCAAGACAGCTGCCCTTGCAGGTTCACAAACAGTAGCTACCTAATGGATGTTTTGGTATTGGTGCTATGCCTCCAGCTGGGGGTCTGTGAGCCTGTAGCAGTTCCAGTATGTCCCAAATGGTCCAGAGCCCCAGGGCATATGCAGATTTATTTTGTAGACAACTGTGAAGACGCTGATCTCTTCCTG